CTATCTATCTATCTATTTATCTATCTATCTATCTATCTATCTATCTATCTATCTATCTATCTATCTATCTATCTATCTATCTATCTATCTATCTATCTTATCTATCATCCATCCGTTTCTGACTCAACATAAGACATCCACAGTTATAGAGTTAACACAAACTATTCGAGGAATGAAGAACGCCATTTTGTCATGACAAATGAAGCGCTTGAAAAAAATTATCTAGCTATACAACTGTCAATGTTTTACGCCTTTATTGACACAATGTAGGCAACTCTACAGTCTCTGCTTATATCCTGCTTGTCAACACTAGGCTAGCTGAGTGGAATTGAGCATCTCGGCAGAGGACGGATACACTCTATTAAAGTAAATAAATAAATCAATACAAAAAGAAAGAAAGAAAGAAAGAAGGAAAAATAAATAGAAAGAAAAAATAATGAATGAAAAAAGAAAGAAAGAATGAAAGAAAGAAAGAAAGAAAAAATAGAAAGAAAGAAATACATAATGAAAGAGAGAAAGAACGAAAGAACGAAAGAACGAAAGAAAGAAAGAAAGAAAGAAAGAAAGAAAGAAAGAAAGAAAATCTCTTCTCTGGAACTGAACTCACGACTTGCACGCATTAGGAATAAGAGCCTAACCGTGACAAGACAGACACAAGTGTAACTTTGAATTGCAAAAACGTCAGCTGCAAACTTCACTGTGACACAACGGAACGGTGTACATTTGTCCTTGCCTAAATTTGTCAGCACTTCAGTAACATGTTAGAACTATAGATTAGCAGTCTTTCATATCAGGTTACCTTTAGAACAACAGATTTGCTTATCATTTATATCACGTACGTCAAGTAAGAGCAATATATCAACCAACACTTCATATTACATTAGAGCTGTAGATTAAATAATATGTGAGGCAGCGTGGTGGAATCAGGCTCTCGTCAAGATAATGAAATCGAAGAAAATAGCATGTTCTCCCTGCTTAGCAATTTTTATAAAATTTTCGTTTTTTTGCTCAAGACCTTTTATGTCCATTTACAAACACATTCCTTTGAGGATTTCTCCGAAAACGTTGATTAAAGGCACACAATTATAAATTTAGTTTTCATGGACTCCCAAGCATTGGAATTTACCAAGTTTTGGTGGCCATTTTCTCGCTAATTTTACCTCTGAAACCAGGTGGCCCCCATCTCCTTCAATACAAAATATCTCCACTTCTATTTAAGACGGATGGGTAATGTTTTCATTGAAAGCAAGACAAATGAACAAGCTTTAAAATGATACCAATAACTCATTATGCCCCAAAATTGACGAGAGCCTGATTCCACCACGCTGCCTCACATATATCAAATAACGTTAGCACAATAGTTTTTCTAAACTATATCACACTTAACTAGCACAATCATTTTGCTAAACTTTCCTTTCCTATCACGTTAGAACAACACATTTCCTAACTCTTCATATCATGACAGAACAATAGATTTCCTAATCCTTCATAGCATCACGTAAGAGCGATGGATTTACTCCCCCTTCGTATGCTCGTTAGAACAATAGATTTGCTAACAGTTGATTTAATATTCCAAGTAGGTTAAAAAAATAGATCTGCTAGCACTTCATATCACGTTAGAACAATAGATTTGCTAATCCTCCGTATCACAACAGAACGATAAATTAACTATTTGCTGGCACTTCATATAACTTTAGAACAATATATTTCCTAATCTTTCATATTATCACGTGAAAACAATGGATTTGATAGTCCTTTGTATCCTCATTAGAACAATAGATTTGCTAACAGTTGATTTAATATTACAAGTAGGTTAAAATAATAGATCTGCTAAAACTTCATATCATGTTACAACAATAGATTTGCTAATCGTCAGCATCATTACGTCAGAACAATGAATTTGCTCACCACCATTCATATCACGCTATAAAAATGGATGGGCTCATCCTCCGTTTCACAATAGAACAATATATTAATTATATGCTGGCACTTCATCTGCTAACACTCCATATCACTTTAAAACAATAGATTTCATAATCCTTCATATTATCGCGTAAGAACAATATTATTTGCTCACCCTTCACATCACGTTAGAACTATAGATCTGCTAACAGCTGATCTAATATTGCAAGTACGTTTGAACAATAGATCTACTACCACTTCTTATTACGTTAGAACAATATATTTGCTAATATTGCACATCATTACGTCAGAATAATGGATTTGCTGACCCTTCGTATCACAATAGAAAAATATATTTGCTAGCACTTCATCTGTTAACACTTCCTATCACATTTCAAGAATTTATTTTCTAATTCTCCATGATGGATAAATTAGGTCACCCTTCGTATCACGTAAGAACAAAGATCTGTTGACAGTTAATATTAGACTAGAACAATGGATCTATTATCACTTCATATCACGTTAGGACAATAGACTTACTAACACTTCTAATTACAGTAGAACAATAAATACAGTCCCTAATCCTCCATAAATTATCATCTCATAAGAATGGATCTGCTAACACTTTGTATCACGCGAGAACAATAGCTTTGCTAACAATTAATATAACGTTAAGACAATATATTTGCTAACAATTAATATAACGTTAAGACAATAGATTTGCTAACAATTAATATAACGTTAAGACAATAGATTTGCTAACAATTAATATAACGTTAAGACAATAGATTTGCTAACAA